GCCTTTTGAGGCACGCCTTTTTGAAAGATTGGGCACACCTTTTGAGGGTGCGACTTTTTAAGGGTCCGACAAGACTCTGTAAACTGTCTCGACATTGATTCCGGTTAGCTCCTTTATGGGTCCGACAAGACTCTGTAAACTGTCTCGACATTGATTCCGGTTAGCTCCTTTATGGGTCCGACAAGACTCTGTAAACTGTCTCGACATTGATTCCGGTTAGCTCCTTTATGGGTCCGACAAGACTCTGTAAACTGTCTCGACATTGATTCCGGTTAGCTCCTTTATGGGTCCGACAAGACTCTGTAAACTGTCCCGACATTGATTCCGGTTAGCTCCTTTATGGGTCCGACAAGACTCTGTAAACTGTCTCGACATTGATTCCGGTTAGCTCCTTTATGGGTCCGACAAGACTCTGTAAACTGTCTCGACATTGATTCCGGTTAGCTCCTTTATGGGTCCGACAAGACTCTGTAAACTGTCTCGACATTGATTCCGGTTAGCTCCTTTATGGGTCCGACAAGACTCTGTAAACTGTCTCGACATTGATTCCGGTTAGCTCCTTTATGGGTCCGACAAGACTCTGTAAACTGTCCCGACATTGATTCCGGTTAGCTCCTTTATGGGTCCGACAAGACTCTGTAAACTGTCTCGACATTGATTCCGGTTAGCTCCTTTATGGGTCCGACAAGACTCTGTAAACTGTCTCGACATTGATTCCGGTTAGCTCCTTTATGGGTCCGACAAGACTCTGTAAACTGTCTCGACATTGATTCCGGTTAGCTCCTTTATGGGTCCGACAAGACTCTGTAAACTGTCTCGACATTGATTCCGGTTAGCTCCTTTATGGGTCCGACAAGACTCTGTAAACTGTCCCGACATTGATTCCGGTTAGCTCCTTTATGGGTCCGACAAGACTCTGTAAACTGTCCCGACATTGATTCCGGTTAGCTCCTTTATGGGTCCGACAAGACTCTGTAAACTGTCCCGACATTGATTCCGGTTAGCTCCTTTATGGGTCCGACAAGACTCTGTAAACTGTCCCGACATTGATTCCGGTTAGCTCCTTTATGGGTCCGACAAGACTCTGTAAACTGTCCCGACATTGATTCCGGTTAGTTTCTACAAGGGTCCAGCAAGACTCCGTAAACTGTCACAACATTGTCTTCTACAACGGTCCGACATGACCCCATAAACTGTCTTCTACAACGGTCCGACATGACCCCATAAACTGTCTTCTACAGCGGTCTGACACCGCCATCCAGTGTCCTCTACACCGTTATGACACCCCTATACAGTGTCCTCTACAACGTTATGACACCACCATCCAGTGTCTTCACCAATGGTCTGACACGACCATACAGTGTCACCTATCCTCTTTTATTTTTATGTATTTTCTTGTTTTGTAACTCTCTCCAAACTCAAGTTGGTTAGTTCCTATCCCCTTTGAGTTTGCGGGGGGCTGTTAAAACCTATCACCTACTTCACCCACTTAAACCTATTCCACTAAACCTAACCCACTACACCACTACCACCTCCACTTCACCTACTCCTTACCTACTACACACTCACCCTCTTCTATATATAGGAATCATGAATCATTGTAATAGATATCAATATATCAATCATTAATAATACATACAATTTATTCTCTCTCTTTCTCTATACATTAAGATGGTTGTTCATGCTCTCAACTTTCTCTCTCTCTCTCTCTCTCTCTCTCTCTCACATAGGATGCAGTATTCCTAGCAGCAAATCAGAGTTTAAGTGTAACTGATGCGGTTCTTGATGTCTTAAGAAATGTTAGTCAAAATAATCACAGGCAAGAAAATTATGATTCAGTCAACCGACAGCTCGGTGTTGATCAAGTTCAAGGAGGAGAAAAGCAATTATGAGCTCGTTTACGTTGTCGATGAAGATATCCATGATGCTGATAATTCAACCGTTGCAGAGATCACGAAGTTTGCTAATTCCGTGGTTGTCAGCAAGAGCTCCGTCTTTCCTAACAGTGACGCATATCTTACTGGTACAACAGATGTCGTACAGAAACTACATGCATTCAAGCTCCCAGTGTTTGTAAAACTCTTCAGAAATGAGTTTATATCTCAAGCTTGGGACTTCTGCTCAGATGCAATCGTGGAGATCAACTCATTTGTCATGGGTGCTGAAATTGATGGTGTCATCACAGAATTTCCTGGAACAGCTGCTAAATACAAGAGTAAGTGCATAAATTTTTTCTCATCATACGGTGGGAGTCCCTTTATTGTTCTGCAAAAAATGTTTTTGAGTTGATCTTCCCAACCAATTTCAGCAAGCCATGACATTTCCTTAACCTGGACTGCGAACTGTTTATGATTATTTATTATCAAACTTTCTAGGAATGTGACGTAAAATGACCGCGTGTCATACAATGAGTTGAGCCTTTCATTTCTGAATGAAATCTCGCTAAATAAATATGATCTAGATGCTAAGCAGGACAACGATTTTGACAAAATTAGGATACGGACATGGCGGGAATAGGGCAACAGAAAAGGAAAAAAATGCATGTATATTTTATTTGCTATGTATATGAATATAAATTTAGGGCACCAGATATCAGAGATATCAATATATATATGGGTGTATTTCTATTTTTTTGTCACTTTTTCCCCTCTTTGTTTCCATATATTTTACTTTGATCTCAAATCAATTTATTAAATTATCAAATTAAAAATAAAAATCTGAAATTTTGTTCTAAGACGTGTTCAAACATAGGTCATGCATGTTCTGTCCCCAATTTGTCTTGCGAAAAAGTAATAATTAAAAAAAAATGACAAGGCACATGACGTGTCCAACATTTGTGTATGTGATGATGTGTCAGTTTTCAACTTGTTTTACATGCACACGGACACAACTCCCGGGGGCCGGTTTTAGTGAGACATTTTAGTCTTATGGACTGTTTGTTGAGCTTTTTGTATTTGTTCTATGTTAATGATTTTTGGTGCTTTGGTGGGTTGCAGAGAACCCCCCCCAGCGGTTTTAGTGAGACATTTTAGTCTTATGGACTGTTTGTTGAGCTTTTTGTATTTGTCCTATGTTAATGATTTTCGGTGCTTTGGTGGGTTGCAGAGAACCGATGCTTGGGATTGGGAAATAATACTCCTTATTAAATGAGCCCTGTTCAGGCTGGTGGTCTCTTGCAACTCATGGCTGCTCCAGACTTGCCACCCGCTCAAGCTCGTAACCCTATCCTGACAGAATCCGATGTGGTTGAGCCACCTCTGCCCTCTGTGGTGGTGAATAGCCCAACTTCTGACATTGGCAATGTAACTATTTCACCAACTACAACCCCATCAAATGGGCTGCCTAAAGTTGTTTCATTCATCTTCTTGTCATATCCAGCTTCTCTCCTTGCTACTCTTGCCCTATTCTGAAAACGTATCACCCTACACATGCTTGACCACATGGGAGCTCGGCACGATCAAATGGGTAGTTCTTTTTTTTGTTTCCTAAACTGCATCAATCGTTTTGTGTATCATTTTGCATTTTGTAGGTGTGTTCATTCCTCCCCATGCATATCCCTGAGACCGTGTCATGATGGATTCTTCAACCACCAGGCATTGTTAGCTGTTCATTCATGTAGTTTAGTTAAATGATTATTCTTTGGTGTGTATTATGATCGACACAGATAATAAACTGTGTTCGGTAAACTGAGCAACCAGCCTCTCTGTTTACATCAAGTGCTTGAACTGGACTGCTGAAATTTGTAAATTATTGTATTTATATGCTTCAAAATCTATTTATTCCCCACCAAATAGTACGATAGGAACAAATTTCCAATATACAGAGATGTTGAATGGCTACCAAAGAGTGACAATCTTGAGTGAACAACAGGCAAACCATGTGAACAATCGTCTCCATAAAAGACTACTTTCATGTTTAGGTTAAGCATTCTTATCCAGCACATGCACACAACAGGTCATACCAAGTCTTTTCTTCTTCTTCTTCTTCTTCTTCTTCTTCTTCTTCTTCTTTATGTGTACACCGACGTGGTTGTGTTTGAAATTTTTATTGTGGGTTGAAATTTTTATTGTGGTTGAGTAGGTAGTTACAAAAAGGTGCGGTTCAATTCTTAATTACAGAAGAATAATTTGAATTTTTTAGGCCTTTACATATATAATAAAATAGATAGATATGAATGTGCTTCAGAATGTATTTAACTTTGATTTATTTACACTAACGGTTGGCACACGCGATTCGTGTGCAATTCAAATAAATAAAAATGAAATAAAATATTTATCATATATTGTGTGCTAGTTAAGTGGTAAAAGTCTTATTCATTTGTCATAAGTCTAAGGTTCAAATTTCCTCCTCTCATCTATCTAATTTTTTTTTATTTGAAATAAAAAAATAGACATGTGGCAGCATAAAAACAAAGATTTCAAGACATCATGAAATGTGTTCACTTTATAATAGTATAGGTAGATAGATAACAACGAGTTAGTTTCGATGAGTTTTAAACGGCTGGAGCACGAATGGAACTAAATACTTTTGTAAATGGGATTTCAAATGGGGAAGGAAATAAATGAATTTTGAAGGGGTTTTTTTTTTTTTTTTGGTTCCGTCCACATGCGCGCGTGTGGAACTTGACTGGAATTAAAATTTAATGATTTTATTTTTCTTTTTTGTTTGATGATGACTTTAGGAGGGAGAGTATTATTTATTTTTAAAATAAAAAATAATTTCATGAAAATAAACAGTAAAAATATAATTTCAAAAAAAAAAATTTGCGCCTCAAAAAAGAGAAAATTAGGCAAAATAAAAAATATGTTCTTATTTTTATTTTTTTCCACTAAACTAAATTTTAATTTAAAAAAAAGCAAACAGAGAGCAAAATTTAAAAATTCAACTAAACAGAAGGGAAAAATGGTAAAAAATAAATAAAAATGTGTGGTGGTATGGATTGCATCAGCATCCGTAATTACGATATCATCATATAGGGGAGGGGAGAACGTGAATCCATCTGTCTTCGTTCGTTAGAATTTAGACATGAGGTAAGGGTTTGGAAAGTCCAACACAACGCGTTACATTGCACGTCCAACACACTGCAACACGTTATATATATATATATATATATTGTCCTACTAAATCAATGCATAGTTATTTTTTTGGGATCAAGGTTGTCTTATTTTGAATTTTTTTTTTTTTTGGATTTATCTTGATGAGTTGAATTATTCATATTATATAATTGGTCGAGTATATTATTTACAAAAAAAAATTAAATCAATCGAATATCTGTAGTCTCATGATTAGGATTTAATTATTTTTTAAAAAATTATTAAAATTGTGTTAGCCGTTTATTTTTTAAAAAATAAGGCCAAGTTTGGCAACTCTTAAAAAATTCAAAAAGTCAAAACGTTACTATCCTATTTAAGTCACATCATCTTATTTAAGTCATATCACCTCTCTAACACATCACTTCAAACCCAATTCAAACCCAACCCATATTTCATAAAAAGTCAAAAAGTATACTTATTTTAGTCTTTTCAAACTTGGCCTAAATATGCTCTTATTATGAGGTTAAAGGTATTTTGTCAATTTGATTTTTGACATGGATGATCTACTTAATAAATTTTACAATATAAACGATTTATATTATTGAAAAAAAATTACGAAAAAGTCTCCAAAGCACCTCATAGCATCTGCCACAACAGGATCCCTATTCCATTTTTTGTTTTTTTGTTTTTTGAGCAAGTTGTCTAACATTAATGGGATAAACTTGAGTTTGGAGGTTGGAAGCATAAGCTTTTTTTTTTTTTGAGCAAGTTGTTTAACATTAATGGGATAAACTTGAGCTTGGAGATTGGAAATTTTGAGCAAGTTGTTTAACATTGACGGTCTCCTCTCAATCCCTGATTTGACTCTCTTTGATTATCATCCAACTGTTGTTTTTGCGTCATGCTTATGTAGTGGCGACGTAATCTTCATTCACCCCAACCTCAGAAGTTATTTGGTGGGGTGGCACGGCCGCATGGTACCACAAGTGTGTTGTAATTAGTAAAAAATGTGAGATTTATAATTTTATAATAGGTGATTGGGGATATGATGGTTTGTAATTAGTCAGGAATATAGTCACGTGATCTTCTTGGATCACGAAATAATTTTTCTAACTTGGAACTTCTATTTACACTCTAATAAGAATAACTCTTTGTATTCTTAAATTTTTATTATAATTTTATCCTTAATTAACATTATCAAAAATTATTCAAATCCTAATTTCTCTTTTCACTCAATTAATAAATATAATCATAATTTCTCTTTCTACTCACCCCATTCTCGTTGCCCATTTCGTGAGCACTCTCAAACCCCTTTTCCCTCCTTGTTGCTGCCTTAGCCACAAGGGTTGGAGTGGGGACAAGGGTTGGAGTGGGGTCGCAAGGGGTGCGAGGTTCTAAGGGTGGCGGTCGGTGGTTATGGGGCGAGGAGTATGGAAGACGACAAAAGAAAATGAGAATGAAAGGTTAAGGGGGTTGTTGGGTGGGGAACGGTAAAAATATTTTGAATGAATTAAAAATATGACTGTCTTGAAGTTGAGGAACGAGAGATTATGTTATGTTTAAAAATTATTAACATCTCACTTCAAATAAATTGACAAATGTTTTGACACAATTTTTTTTTTTAAAAAAAAAAAACTATAAACAACTATTTAAACTACATGAGCCAAAGGCATTTGTTTCAATTTTTATTTTAATTTTTTTTTAAAAAAAAAAAACTATAAACAACTATTTAAACTACATGAGCCAAAGGCATTTGTTTCAATTTTTATTTTAATTTTCTGAAAAATACCATTATAACTTTATTTTTTATCTTATTTTTTCACTTTTAGATCCAAGTGAATGGGTTTTATATGCATTATTGATGTGTGCTGCATTATTTTTTGTTTTGAAGTGAGAAATGAGGTTTAAAAAAAAAATTGAGATTATGTATAACATCACTCTTTTTTTTCTTTTTTCTGTTTTCTTTTTCATGAGTCCCATGATGCAAGGTTTATGAATATAATAACCCTAATTTGGTAATGATTTTGATGTTTTTGCTAATGTACCCCTTCAAAGATATTTAGGTCTTGGGAGGGTTAATAGTTGAAATTTGATGGAAAACAAAGGGAAAATTCTTTTGAACACTAGTGTGATGACTTTGTGGTGATATTGAACAGTTTTGGGACTAAAGGTCAAGTGACCAAATTTGAACAAGAGAGAAACAACACCACTAGAGTACCTTTTCTCTTCTTCTCTTGAAAACTAATAGTGTATTCATGAGTCTACCTTTAAATAATCTAAGCTCAACTCAAAGGTCATGTTTGTTTGGGTAGACATGAGATTGAGATTAGACTAATAGTCTAATAAAATTATTAATCTGATGTTTGGTTAAACAATTAAAGTAGGGACTAATTATTTTAAACTTGACTATTAGTTAAGATAGGATATATAATCCAACGGATTTGTAGTCCTAAGACTATTAGTCATGGGAATGCTAATCCAGTCCGCTCAAACAAACATGGCCAAAAAGTTTTAACGTTGGAACAATATATATAGATAAATTATATTCAACACAATATATATATATATATATATAGATTAATTATATTTAGCACTCTTAGGCCTCGTTTGGGAATAGGCTAATTTAGTAACTTTTTGGCTATTTGGCTAAAAAGGTAGGTAAAAAAAACTTGTATGTTTGGGATGACTTTTTGGCTAATTACGAAAAGATGTGCAAAAAGTAGAGAGAAAAGAGAATCTTTGACTTTTTGGTATGAGTTGTTGGCTTTTTGGCTAATTTAGTAACTTTTTGGCTAATTGACTAAAAAAGTAAGTCCCCAAACGGGGCCTTAGATTTTATGAAATATTTTTATTTATTAAACACAAATAAATAAATTATGTATATTTATTGATGTGAGGCTTACTTCCTTTAATTTTAGTGAATAAAAGATGCATATATGTGTAATATTACTCAATTATTAATCATTGTATAATATCTGAAGTAGGGTCCAACATATCACAGACTTAGGCTTCTTTCGGAAACATTAGTTAAAAGGCAAAAGTTAACTTTTAACCCAATTTTGTGTCACATCATCTCTCACAAAAAATAATAAAAAAAGTCAAAAAAATTAAAAAATAAAAAAAATTAATTTTTAACCATCTTTTTAAAACACCCTTTAACTTTGTAGACCCTATATATGTAGTTGCAAGGACATTGGCATGGACAGTTCAGAAGGACTTTTTTTTTATTATTATTTATTTATCAGAAGTTCAGAAGGACATTGGCATGGTGGAAAAATTTTCAAATTCTTAAAAATGAAGTTTAATTCTAAGGAGCTGTTATTCATATTTTACTTTACTTTAAATACATTTAATTTTTTATTTTTATTATACATAATTAGTATTCTTATTTTATTTTATTTTAAATATACTCTTATCTATGTATAATAAAGACAAAAAATTCAGTATATTTAAAACAAAATTGATTGAAAATAGCTTATCCATAATTCTATACGAGTTCAATGTTTAAAAAATCAGGATTATTTGTAATAGTCTTGCTATAGTAATCTAATGGTTTGTATTTAAAATTAAAACAAAGTTATATTATTTTAGGTGTATAATTTTAATATAATTTTATTTTTTTATCAATAATTTGCTAGTTGTACGAATAAAAAATGATATTATCATTTATTTTTTTTTACTAAAATGCACATTTATTTATATTTATTTCAGTATAAAATCTACCATCGACATTAGTTTTGGTCATTTAAATCTCATTAAAAGAAAAATTAATACAGTAATGTAAAAAGTATGAAACTAATTGTAATTTTTTTAAAATTTTAATAATGTGTTTAGTTAGAGAATTTGAGGAGGAATTTAGAAAGGAAAATGAAAAAGGTAGGTGAAATATAAATAAAATATACTTATATTTTACCTAATTTTACACACATTTTCCCTTTCTGTTTCCAAATCTCTTCCCAAATCTTCAAACCAAACACATCGTAAGAGAAATAAGTGTAATTAATCTTAAAATTAAGAAAAAGTAAAAAATTAGTGCAAGTTTTAAAAAAATTTACATTTCAGTGATAAACTTTATAAATTTAATTTATAAATGTAATTATTTTGAGAAATTTTTTTCTTATTTGTAATTTTTCCTAAAATTAAAAGCAAAGGTGCCATAGGGTGGGATTGAAGGGTGTACTTGAGGCATCATCATAACGTTGCGATGACGTCACACGTTGCTACCCAAAATTTAAACAGCCACAAGTACCTTCCTTGATCTCAAGGAAACTGCCTCATGTGGGTCCCTACAATGGCCGCCAGCAATTTCCCCTTTGACCCTCCAATCAACAAACAAACACCTCTCTCTCTCTCCCTCTTTCTCTCTCTATAAATAGCGATTGAAATTTTGGTTTGGTTCTCACATTTGCAAAATACAGATTATAGAAAGACTGATAAACATACAACATAAAGCATTTTCAAAACCCAAAGAAACAAAAAGATACATACTAGTATGTCAAATGTTGTGGAAGAACCTTGTCTGGTGGTCAGAAAGTTTCTAGCCAGGCCTCAACATGAAGGTGTTGGTGCCATTGTTAGACGAAGCATTGGGAGGTAATATAATTCTGTTTGGTTTAATTTTTACAATCTGTTTTTATTTACTCTTTTTATCTCCAAATATTAATAAATTTTAGAAAAAGAACAAAATAAATTTTAGATGAAGCATTGGGAGGTAATATAATGGGTTTTTGAGTTTGTTCAGGTTTGAATTGAAATACTTTGATCCTTTTCTTGTTCTAGATGAATTCTCAGGTGAGTTGGGTCTCTCTGTTTTGCTCTGTTTTACTCTGTTTCTTTATGACAAACGCATACATTTGTTCAATGTCTGAATTCTGATTTTTTTTTTTAATTTTTTTAACAATGTTGCAGTTTCTGCACCTGCTGGCTTTCCTGATCATCCACACAGAGGTTTGAATTTGATTATTGATCTCTTATTTGTTTTTCTTTTTTCTTTTTTGTTTCTGTTTTTAGTTGAGAAAAGATTGCTGATGCTCTGTTTTTCATATTTTACAGGATTTGAAACAGTCATATACATGTTGCAGGGACATATATAATACCAATTGTTATTAGTTTTTTTCTAATAATTTTTAAAAAATTATTACTGGATCGAATTCTATGATCAATCTATGTGTTTTATACTTTTCTTTCCTTTTTTCAAGCTAATGAAACTTCTCTCATAGTGCTCTGCTCTTATGGAACCTAACATAAATTAGGATAGAAGTTAGGAAGAACCTCCTTCATATTAATGAGAGCATGGTGCATTGGGTCATCACTTTTTAAGATAGACCCATTTTTTAAATTTCATTTCTTGTCATTTCTACTATTTTTATATGAAGAGCTTGTGATATCATTTTTTTTCTTTTTACAAATTAAATTATATTTTTTTCAATAACCACCAAAGATAATTTTTTTATTATTATTTATGGATAATTATTATTTTTTGTTTATTTTTATTTTTAGTGATGCTTTTTTTTTTCCCTCCAATTTTGAGTTGTTATTATTTTTTTAAAAACTTTTTAGACTTATAAAAATTGAAAGTTGTTTGAATTTCCTTTTGAGTCATTTTGCATCCGTTTGGGAAGTGGGTTGACTTTTTGGCTTTTTGGTTTTTTTGACTATTTTAGCCTGGGCTTAAAAGCTTGGTTTGGGAAGGGCTTTTTGGCTTTTTTGAGTTTTTTTGTGAGAGAAGAATGTAATGATTATAGGTTGGATGTGATA